TTTTTTTCCTAAATTTAGTGCATTAAATTGACCTTATAAACATCTATTACGTTCGCTTTTCTTGCTGGTCCATATATGGACCAGTCCCGGAGCGAAAAGGTTAAACAAACTCCTTCTCGTCTCAAGTTTTTTTTTTTTTGAGTTTATCGCCATTCACATGTCAACCAACTCGCGCCGATATTTCTCCTTTCTGTTAAATTTTATAAATTTCCAAAGAGATTGACAATTACGAAGGCTGACGAAGAAAGATGGCGACAACAATGTGAGAGAACACAACACAGAGAGAGATCTCAAACCGATTCCCTGGTAAATTCGACGCGCGAGAACCCGTCGAGTCGATGATCGATCAACGAGTGGTCGATTAGCGGCGGATGGTTGGTGTTTGAATCCGCTCTGGTTCTCTTGGAAACTCTCGTTGAGTAAATATGTGTACGGAGATCGCATCGCGCGCACCGGAATAATCGGTTGAATCGCAAGACTGTCGCGCGCGCGCTGCTTCCGATGTTTGCGATGCCATACCAACCACCCCAGCGACGTCTAACATCGCCTCCGCCTTTATCTCACGGGACTTGTCTCGCTCTCTCTCTCCCCTTCTCTCTCTTCTCTTTCTCTTTGTTTGCTATCGTAAAACAGATGGCAACCTCCTTCCAGTTGCATCCATAATTACTCCAAATAAATAGTTACAGCTTGGCAGCATGTCAACTACTATAATCCGTGACTATAAATTAACTATCGATATCGATATCCCTTTGAATTTGAAATATTTCTACCCTAGATATGTCTCATGTGAAATTCATACGCATTCGTACGTATTATTGAAACAATTCAATTATTCAAGCAAATGTTTAATTAATTATTCGAAGTAAAAGTTTGAGTTCGATGTAATAAAACGAGCTTTTGTACCCACACAAACAACAATGCATAAATCACTCGTTTTATTGATTTGCTCACGCGGTTTAATATAAGTTAGATGATTTTGCGTTAGAAACTAATTATCCGTGCGCGAGAGATGCTTTTGTTTATGAGTGAGAATTGAAATGTCCTTTGCAACGTTTTTTTTTTTTTTTTTTTTTTTTTTATTGTTGGTTGAAAATGTATAGAAAAATAAAGACGGTTATATATATATATATATATATAATAACAACGGAACGTATTCCTCGCATTTTGTGACGCTTATTTTCTTTGGCCACGAGAGAAATCCTTTTCCGAGACGAGATGCGCTATAGCGTTCGTTTCGACGCCGAAGATAATAGAGAGATTCGATTTACGATGGAACCGACGCACGTACGTCGAATATAATAAGGACGTCGAGCATTGCCTCGTTTACAGTCAACACCTCGAGAAGCAGCCATTATATGATTTCAATTCCATTTTAAACCTCGCTTTAAAATTTATTGACTTATCGGATTATAATATATATATATATATTTGTCTTCTCTCTTTTTCGAGTTTTTATTCAGTCTTTTAAATATAAAACAATTACGGAGTCAATATTGAGTAAAAAAAAAAGCAACTCTGTCGCATAGCGAAAAGGTTAATGTTCGCGCGATGCGGATTTATATATACAGGGTGTCCCAGAATTGGTGTAACATCTCTCGTTAACAGATAGAAGGAGTAAAATTGAATCAAAAAGTCCTATACCATTTTGCTGGAATTGCAGTAATTACCAAGATATTAATTAACAAAGATCCGCGAATGCGAGCGTGCATCGGGCTCTGTCTTGCGCGCGTAAGACAGCCCAGTGCGCTTCGCGCGCTTAACGGTGTTACCCGCAGCAACATATGTGGGAGGAGCTAATATAACAGCATATACCATAAACATATACTTATTAAAGTGTAATCGTGCGAAGCGCTATTCCACGCGCGTAAGACAACCCGATGCACGCTCGCATTCGCGAATCTTTGTTAATTAAGATCTCGGCAACTATTGCAATTCTAGCAAAATGGTATAGAAGTTATCGACTCAGTTTTACTCCTTCTACCCGTTTACGAGAGATGTTACACCAATTCTGGGACACCCTGTATATATATATATATATATATATATAATTGTATGGCGGTCGCGTACATAGACCAAAAGACGAGAAAAGATCCTGTCGATGTGGGCAAGATGAAATATTCCAGTCATGTCACGCGCGCCATATGCGCAGCAACGCACCCACGTTTATCCACACAATGCAGTTTTCCTGCCTTTTCGCATTCGTCTGCAATTCCTCGCGCAGAGACATCTCTAACTCGGTTTACATCTGTGTAGATAATTCGTGTAAGAAAATGGCGCGGTCGTATTGACTAGCAAATTGATCTTTACAGCGCGGCTTTTTTATTTTTTTTTTTTGCGCCCCTTAAAAGGCGAAAAGAAAATTACCGGTTGGGGTATTATCTTAATGGCTATTTAAATATGTTTAATTGGAACGGCGAAAAATACACACAACAGAGCGAGTGAGCAATCTACTGTGTTTGCGCAAGAACGAAAAAAAAAAAAACGGGCCACAGACGTAACCAAAAGAAAAGTTCTCTCTCGCGAATTCGCAAAAGCTCTTTCGCGATAGCAACTTGTAATCTACCGGCAAAGTGAAAACGGACATTGCGGGCGGGTCGCGATCGATCCTGTTCGGGGAACGAACGAAATTTATCCCAAGCATCGTTGGGGGGATTTGCAAGGACCTATCGATACGCGGAGGATTTGCGAAGCCGACATTCAAAATCTATCAGCTCACGCGCCATCCCGTCTATTGCGGGACACTAGCTTCCTCGCGGATCCTTTTAAAAAGCTTCCTTCGTGCTGTAATTTGATCGAGGACGATTTCCTTCAGTAGGATTTGCTTGCCGCGAAAAAATAGTCGTAAAAATCTTCAGGAACCGCAATCGTTCCTTCTGTGACTTCAAATTTTTTTTTTTCTTTTTTAATCTTCTTCTACATTTTTTCACGTGTGCGTTATAATTGCACTTATATTAATTAGAAAAGTAACAATATTATTAAAGTAAAAATAATAATAATATTATTTAAGTTAATTAACTAATTATTTTATAGTAGATCAGAAAGAAATCTAACTCGTCTGAAGATAAGTGATCGATATACTAATAAATAAAAAAACGATATACTAATAAATAAAGAAATTAAAGTAAGAATAATAATAAAATATTATTTAAGTTAATATTTTATTTAAGTTAATTAACTAATTATTTTATAGTGGATCAGAGACAGAAATCTAACTCGTCTGAAGATAAGTGATCGATATACTAATAAATAAAAAAACGATATACTGATAAATAAAAAAATTAAAGTAAAAATAATAATAAAATATTATTTAAGTTAATTAACTAATTATTTTATAGTGGATAAGAGAGTAATCTAACTCGTCTGAAGATAAATGATCGATATACTGATAAATAAAAAAAAACGGGATGTGGGAATCAAATCATAAAAAGAAGTCGGGTCAAATCAAAGTTTCTATTGCACCACTCGTCGTGATTGCTATTTCTCCATCTCGCGCGAGGAAAATGAGAATACAACTCCGCTCTTTGCAAGCTCTCTCTCTTTTCTTTATCACTCATCCAAAGAGAGAGGTTAATGGCAGAGAGTAGGGAAGAAAACAGGAGGGTGGGCAAACGGGGAAGTCGATGGCAACTGCGACTCGGAAAAAAGCATTACCGGGGAAATTTGCTTCTGCGTTTCACATCTTCCTCTTTAGCAAATCCTCCGAGTAAAATATTCTTAAATAAACATAATTTTATTGGAATTTGCTATGGCTTTTTATTAAAAAAAAAAAAGAAAGAAAAGAGAAAAAAAGAAACCTTGGAAAAACGTTCAGATTCCTGTTTTATCCCCCTCCCCCATTTGTGCTCGAAGCGGGAAATAGAGTTCATTTACCTCTCGTAGAACAATTTTTATTGAAGTAAAAAGAGAATCTCTGCAGCGCCCTAACCCTAGATCTAAGGTTTAAATTATGCCGTGACAAACGCGAAGAAATTGAAAGACAATGAAAAGAAGAGATCGGGAAGAGAGAGAGGAAGAGAGAGAAAGAGAGAGAGAGAGAGAGAGAGAGAGAGAGAGAAACAATGAAACGAATTATTTAATTAAAGCTATCCGGCGCACGGTTTCAAAACCGGACTTTCCTCCCTTCTCGTCGCGGGAATCCTTTACCGGCTAATTGGGGAGCACCCCCG